AAAATAATATTCAAACACTTAAGTTTGGAAACAAAACTATCATTTATTATGAAGTTTCCTCAAACATTAGATTAACATAACATGTGAATGAAATTACCGGTATTTCACAATGCATTTTGAAGGAAATTATTTAAATTGTGGTTTAATCTTAAATTACGTAAAACGTAATCTAAATCCTAAAACATAATTCTAAACCTAAAACACATTTAGCATTATTTCTAACAGCAATTATTTCAATACTTGTTTAGTGCAAACACATGACTACAGATCTATTGAAAATGTTCGCAAAAGTGGTGAGAATTAAAGTCTAATTAAATAAATTGAATATTTATTAAACAATTTGCAATTTTGAATACAGAATAAGCAAACATTTTGCGATGAGATCTCTGCCTGTGATAGCAATACATCCAATAATAATAATATAGTGGCCAATAGTGTGTCGGACGACCCGAGCTGTAACTTTTGTGTCACAGTTGTGACCAATATTAAGGACATAGTGAGCGGCGCTCCCACAGAGTTAGAGGTGAAGTACTTCGTTGAGGACGCGTGTCATTACTTGGGAAGCTTTGAGAACGAGGTAATTAAGCGATGAAATATTCGCACTTCGTATTGATGTTTAAATTTGATTATTTCTATTGATGTGTTCAGTGCGTGAGTCTCGCCGATGAGTACATCGACACACTCTTTGCTTATATCCGTCAATCTCTTCAACCAAAACAATTTTGTCAATCTATCGGCGCCTGTAATACAACAGTCAAAGCTATCCAAACCGAAAGAGTGGCTGATATATCAGAAGTAGTGAATATATTTCCCGCACAAATGCCTTTTACTCCACTCAAAAACGCTGAACCCATTGAAAGAGTAGGAGATATGGAATGTGTTATTTGCAAACGGATTGTCACATATGTTGTCGAAGAATTGAAAGACAACCGAACAGAACAGGCAATCATTACAGCTCTCGAACATATCTGTTCTCTGTTCCCTCAGAAAGAGCGAAGCAAATGCGATGCTTTTGTCGATCAATACGCCAATGAATTGATCCATATTCTTGTTGAAGAGGGAGATCCAGACCTCGCCTGCACTCTGCTTGGCGTTTGCGTTCCATCCAGTGTTTGGCAATCACTCCAAAGACCGGAAATCGAAAGAGAAGATTCGGTAAATGAGACAAAAACTGCGGTTCAATGGTCTGAAGTAGAAGTGGAAAGCGTTTCCATTGAGTCAACCGCTGAGAAGATGAATAAAAACAAGTTATGTTTTGAATGCGAACTTCTGATGCATTTCATACAAAACGAAATATACGA